TATTATTTTTCTACAATTCGTTTAAAAATAAATGAGAAACTTGTTATAGACTCAAAAGCAAAGACTGATTTTATCGAATTCATAATAGATATGAAAAATTTAAAAATAATGTATCAATCTTATGTAGAGACAGGATACTTAAAATATATATATATATTTTAACATATAAATTATTTCAGAATCACATAGAGACTTTCTTTTCGTGTATCCAATCAATGGGTGGATTTAACAATAACCCAAGTAGTATACATTTAACAGCAGACTATAAACGATTATTACATCACAATGAAGTTAAATCTTCTGCTGAAGCTAACTGCATACCTATTGACAGTACCTCGATTTTAGCAATTTCATCGACGAAAAAGATATCTGATTCAATTACAAGCAATGATCATGACAATCATGATGACAAATACGACGAAGATATTAGTTCTTTAATAAATGTAGATGATTTACCATTATCTGTAATAGATAAATCATTAAATCATGCTATTCTTTATATTTCAGGATTTGTAGAAAAAAAAGTATTACAAAAATTAAAGTGTTTAACATGTTTCAATCTTTTAAACGAATGCGAAGAAGCTACTTCAATTTTTATTAAACGTGTAAGTTTTGGATTTTTGAGACCTCCGCGAGCAGATTTGTATGTCATAACTTCAACAACTGAAAAAGTTTTTAACATCTATAATACAAATTAGAAAATAACTTGAAATGTAAAAATATTAATATACGGATTGTAAACGATACCTTCAGAAATTTAAACCTACATATGATTTTTTTAAATCTTGAGGAACATATTTTAGAATTAGGTGTATTAGAAAATCATAAATACGAATTAATCAAATTAATTATTTCAGAATATTTACAAATAAAATTAAGATATGAAGGTACAATTCTATCTTTAAAAAAAACATGACAATTTTGTAAGACATATTTGTATAAAAATTATTCTTTTTAAGGGACAATAAATGGCACAAATGCATAAATGGCACAATGGCATAGAAAAAAATATTTTACAAATTTTACTATATTTATTTCCTCTTACTCTTTTATCTCTGCTTTTCATTTATAATATTTGTATATTCAAGGTGTTTTATTTCTACCTTTAATTCAAAGATTTCTACGTTGTATTATTATATAAAATTGACATATAGGTCTTCCGAACAGATACTCCTTTATTTTTCGGAAATTAAACATTACACTTTATTAATAATAAAGATTAATATAAACAATCTGTTTAAATAATTGAAGAGGTGAAAAATCATCATTCATATACATTTGTAACTTATTTCTGTATAAAAGCAGCTAAAAATAACGTTCTTACAATTCTCTTTTGCAATTGCGTAGCTTAAATTATAATTAATGGATATATTATTGTTAATATTACATTGTTTTACATGTTTGCAATTTCCTAAAATTGTATATTGATGTTTTTCTATTTCCTATTTTATCTTTTTCTTATTTTTGCCGGTTTTTGGGGTTTATTTTATCAAGTGGTAATTTCTGCTTAGGTGAAAATATTAATAATTACAACATTCAAAACAATTTTATAAAAATCGGTTTATCACCTAATAGAAGACACTTTCTAGTTTATATTTGTTTCCAATGTTGTAGTTTTTTTAATATTTAATCCAAAAACAAAATGGTATGATAATACCGGCAACTTTAACCTAATCTTAATACGGTTCGAATACCCCGCTTTTTCATCGGGGAGGGGCTTAAATCTCGATATATTGAATTAGGGCGACTGTTATCAACTCCGATTAACTTAATCGACCGATTAGTCCATTGGAATTGGCCAATCGCCATCTGTCGTCAAACAAAATGACAAATGCGATTGGTCAATTCCAATGGACTAATCAGCCGATTAAGTTAATCGGCGTTGGTAACAGTCGCCCTTAATGTTGGATTCTTCTTTATGGAGAAAGTGGGGAGCAGTCCATAGTTATATAGTCAAAGGACTCGCGACTTGGCTTTAGAATTTCTGCGTTAATTGTCCGCCGCGTCGCTGCCGAATTCGGAGTAAGGAGAGAGAGTGTACGGCGCGGGACATGAAATTAGAAGAGTGGCGAATTGTTTGTTAGAGTAGGAAAGGTACGATCAGAGTGGGAGCGAGTTTCCGGTCGAGCGGCAAACCATGAGACTTCAAGCGCCGGCGTATCGCATGCTACAGGAGTCCTTTATGATAATTGATCTATTATAATTGATTTAATCAATCGCATTAATCGATGGAATTTTAAAGTTATTAACAAATTAAATTTTAGGCCTCTCTCTGTGGTCCGTGCTGCTCCTTCCCTGGCTTCCGATTGATCGGCGCTCGCTAATTCGCGTTTACTCATTTTATATCAGGCTAAATACGGCGATCACGATGACAAAAAGATAATAAACTAAACAAAAGGTGTATTAGATATAATGCAAGACTTCAAAATTAACAATATTCTCGGCCAGAACGGCTGAAATCTTACTAAGGATTTAGAGCAATGAGCGACGCGCGCTGATTGGTGAGCGATAGCTTATTTTTACTCCGAGAGATTGTAAGAATTGAGGTGCTTCAATCAGATTAATTTTTCCTAAATTTCGTGTATAGGGTAATAACGACATAACGACCTCAACATATGGAAACGATTTCTTAACTCCGCGAGTTATCTTTTCCGGAATTTCGTCGCAATACATCGGCACGCAGCACGCGCCTCGCAGGTGCTCCGATTGGCTTACGCTGCTCAACACATGCCACTTCGCGGCGATTATGGTTGCGTTCGAAAATTGATTTGGTTGGTGTTAGGAAAGGAGAGAAAGTTGGCAGTATTGGAAATTACCAACGCTGCGTTTCGTTTCTCCCACTGGGACTGCTGGGAGACCAAAGTAATGATAAAAATAGAGAAAAAATTATAAGCTGTTTGAAGTGTTACAGGAGATACGTAGTAGTCATTAAATATAATATATAACACGTTATTCAACTTTATGTATAACTCGTAAAGATGTTGTATACTTAATTGTAATCGTAATTAAATACAATAGAATACAAATCTATTCAATTCTAACCTCTGATTTTTCTCTCCTTTTTCTTTTATACATACTCTGGATACATGTAAAAGAAATTTTCGATGTAAGATCTTTTTTATTATAATATTATATATATGAATAATATGTATTAATATTATTGAATAAAATATTTTGTAATTCTTCATCACTGTTATCGCTGTCACTAGAAGAGGAACTAGTAGAGGATTCAAACATAATATTTTTGAGTAAGATATATTCTTCCATAATTACAATGCTGATTGCTATTAGTAAGATATCCCAGACTGTACTGATCTTTTGTCCGTTCATTTTTGTTCAACAGCAATGATGCAAAAAATCTGTAAATATATTTATATCCCAGGTAGCAAAGTGTTGTCAAAATGACGTCTTTTTTTAGTCAATAATATCACCAAAGTCACGTCATAAAAGACATCAAAAACGAAGTGATAATGACGTGCATAAGTCACAGACCGATGACGTGATACTTATGACGTCAAAACGACGACATATTTGTGCCGAGAAATATACGTATCCAGGAAACAAGCTGACGATATTAAGGCACGCATAAAAGTTGCATTATCTTTATAAGGTGGTCAAAATACTTCCTTTTACGTGGCGTTATCCATGTAGTGTGCACAATTGCCAGGCCACCTCCTCCTTCTTTAGTAAACTCTATTACTTTATACATTGTTCGTTATACACTTTTATCATCAAAATTACGCAATTCAATTGTGAAAACAAATAAAAGAGGACACAGACCGTTGATATATACATATGCCACGTACCATGCGTACTAAGGTCTTAAGCCTATTCTACAATAGTCGTCGTAAGCGTAGTTGTAAGTGGTTATAGTTATTTGACCAATCAAGTCGAAAGTGAGGAGAATACTCGACTGTGATAGGTTCATTCTTACAGCATTCTGCTCACGACACCGACATACGACGTATTATGTAACAGGCTTTATCATGCTAACGCGCGGCTCATTTTTAGCCACATTTCAAAATTGACGCTTGATATTCGCCAATTTTGACCACGTGACCTAGTACTGAAAATCTATAGTGCATATATGTTACGTATACTATAGATTTTCAGTACTGACAGTATATAATATTTCGCGTGCAATTGTATGAGCGCTGTGAGTGGCTGGTGGTCAATCGCAGTGATCGAACGGGCGTCACTCTAAATATTGGGTTATTCCACACATCATATTTATTGATTATTCATTAAATATGACCTAAAAATGACGATAAAATGACGACATATTTATAACGATAATATGTCGTCATGAATGTCACGTTCTTTTTATATCATTATTTAGTCCACTGACGTCAAATGACGAAAAATGACCTTAAATCGACGTTATAATGACGACACCTTGCTACCTGGGATTATACTTAAAAAGGAATAGTTTCTAAATTTATGAAAAAATAATTTATGAATTTATCAAAAAAATGTTTTCATATCTTTTACATGTGTGTATCACATACATATTATAATAGAAAAGATCTTACATCGAAAATTTCTTTTACATGTATCCGGAGTATGCATAAAAGAAAAAAAGAAAAATCAGAGGTTAGAATTGAATAGATTTGTATTCTATTGTATTTAATTACGATTACAATTAAATATACGACATCTCTACGAGTTATACATAAAGTTGAATAACGTGTTATATCTTATATTTAATGACTACTATGTATCTCCTGTAACACTTCAAATAGCTTATAATTTCTTCTCTATTTTTATAATTACTTTGGTTTCCCAGCAGTCCCAGTGGGAGAAACGAAACGCAGCGTTGGTAATTTCCAATACTGCCGACTTTCTCTCCTTTCCCAACACCAACCAAATCAATTTTCGAACGCAGCCTATATCGCATCGATTATCTTATATTGTAACATTGTGGAAAACAGAAACAAGTTTGAACAATGTTTATTTGAAGAATTTCCGATAATTTAAATTCAAAATAACCACGCCCTCACTAATAATTTAATCATAATCATATATTGGCTCTTTTTTACACACAAGTATGTACAAAAATTTGCATAAATGCGTTTATATAACTGCTATTATCCTTGAAACGTCACAAATCACAAATACGTGTTCGCAGATATATATCTTAGATCTTATCGAGAACGAAGACAAGAAACTGAACTAGATTATTCCATGTTTAACTTACCATATTGTATCTAGTAGGAAATTTAAAAACGCAACAAGGCGTGTCGATGAGAATTATCAATGGGGTTGCTATCAAGTTGCGAACGGAACGTAGAATCGCCAGGCACACCAGCAGCGAGCATGTCAAAGACGTTGTTATCCTATACACATATATATATATATATATAGAGAGAGAGAGAGAGAAATATTGTAAAACGTGACAATTAATAAACTGCCTGCTGCTATATTATATATCGATCCAAATAATCTCCATTTTCTCTATTTTATCTATTTCGCTAATAGCGATAAATGCAAAATGTCACTGAAATATTATCACATTGACTTACCATGTGTGCACAAATAGATGATTATCGATGATGATCCAACTACCCCGCCAATGCGCGATGCATGCCATTCCAAAGGTGTAAGTATACAGAATTCGTAAAGCCCGATAACGCAGTCGTTTTCGCCAATTTAATTTAGCCCACTTCTTCATGTAAACGTTGTGAAATTGATCTTTGAAAATCGTGTATGCTGTGTGCAAAGCTGCGCCGAACGTAAAACAAAACCAGCTAGGAAACCTGTTAACAAAATCCTGCTAAATACGCGCCAGCGTAATGGACATATGAATGGACAATTTTTAACGTTTCACCATTTGTAAATGATAAAAAAAAATACATAATAGATTCTTGACACAAAACGTCACATACTCTGCTATGTGCAGTCTCCGTCTATAGGTGTAGATACCTGATGACTTAAGAAATTCATTATATCTTTCGGGTGTGTATCTGGAATTACACACGAATCAATTGCGCACAAGCCAATCACAGCATTAGAAAAAATTAAAAAATTAAAAAGTTCCCCATGCAAAAACCGCTGTGATTGACAATGGGCAATTGCAACAGTGTACAAGTGAACCACTCCCGTATCTTTCGACTCTACGCAACTCGATCCTAGTTAACTTTCGGTGTCGTTAGCGCCATTAGAATTAACTGTTAGGACTTGATCATGCCACGTTATGAAATGAAAATGAAATGTATAAAACCGTTAATTACATTCATCGGCAATGCTCGATTATAGAGCGTCCATTATTAAAAAATCAATAGGCAAGTTCAAACCGCAGCAAAGCGGCTAGGCTGCATGCTCGCGTAGCGAACGAACTTGATTGATTCTTCCTTGCTAAAAAAAAAATCATGTCATCACATTACATGATGAAATCATGTGATTAAAACATATAAATCACGTAATGGATTGTTCCAAATCAGTACGTGATTTTTTAAAATGATGTAATTTTGAAAAATCATATGATATTAGAAATAATTTCATCCATCATATGTGATTTTATATAATTATCGAATTTTAAAGAATTGAATGATAGAAATAGAAGAAAAAAGAACATATCATCGTGTGACTTTTTAAAATTCACGTACTGATTTGGAACAATCCGTTACATGATTTACATGTTTTAATTATATACATGATTTCGTCATGCAACTGTATGACATGATTTTTTTCAGTAGGGTTACTTGTAGATTCAATCAATCATGTTTAATTGCTCAGCGCGAGCACACCTAGCCGCTTTACCGACTAGAACTCGCCCAATATTAACGTGTTTTTTTATTCGTCTAATAAGAGCTACAAGACGCAATTAGATTGTTTTACCCAATACGACGGCATCGAAAATTCAATACTTACGAGCTGCAATTAGGTCGCTCGTAAAAATTCACCAAATGCACATATGAGGATTTATATATAGTATATATATATATATATACACATATACATTACAGATATTACATGTTTTACTTATATCGTAATTTTCAGAGCAAAGTACATTTATCAATTTGTACATGCGTGTATGCGTGTAAACCGTTAATTATCCTAATAATATGTTACGATGTTATCGATTCAACAGTCGTCTCCTCTCTCTCTCTCTCTCTCTCTCCCCCCCTCTCTCCCTCCCTTTCCCTCTCCCTCTCTCCCTCTCTCAAACGATTTGACAATTATAATAGGCTTATTATACGTTAGCTTCACATCATCGAAAATATTTCAGCTTCATTCGCGCATATCTCACAATTATTCCAATTGACTCTCCTGTTACTTTTGTTACTCACAATTCTGCATGATGATCCATGCTTGCCCATACACCCCTCCAAAAGCCGATCGATAAAGGAGCAACGATACTCAAAGAGATCAAGGTATCGAATAATGAAAACGCTCGTTTTTTCCTTCTCGATCGTTCCAAATCCTTCGATAATCCTTTCATCGGTTTAAACACTTTTTCGAAGAGATCGAGGTTCCCACAACATTTATGCGATTTTTCTTCCTATGATGCCGTAATTGCAAAATTAATTAAAAGACTAAATTATATACCTACAGATGCAAAAAACGGATGTATTTCGGATGATCTCTCTATATAAGATAGTCAATTTAATTGTACATATTTGCTAAGTTTCGTAAATTTACAGAAATTTATCACTAGCTCATTTAAAATTTCATTGCTTGAAATAAACAAGATTGTCACAATTAAGTTCCTCAGCCTAAAATTCTATATAACTTTTCTCTGATTTCCAAATAAAATTTCATGATTTTCCCTAAAGTTGTCAATAATATTTTGAAATGTTCCGTATTTTCATCTTGATTTGGAAATTAACCGTTAAATATTTTCAGCTAGATCAATTCAACACAGCAATGTAAATTACTATTTATGTTACTGACACTGCTTACATTTTTAATTGTCAAGTTGATAGTATTCCAAAACTACGTAGACATATACCCTGATAGCAAAATGTTAGCAATTTGAGGCCAAATTGGCAGCAAATTCCGTCAGATTTTAACTACAAAATCATAGCCATCTGTGTCCGCATTTGGCTATAGATTTGTCGACAAAGCTATATGCCAGCAGATTGGTGGCAGAAACCGAGTAGATTCTGCTCGAATCAGGTTCTGCTTTCAATCTGCTCTCAATCTGCCGTCAGGTTATACAATTAAAACTTTGTTCGGTTTCTGCTATCAATCTGCTGGCATAGCATGTCTAACAGGCTTTGTTATATTTCTAGCAGAGAGCAATTTGCTGACAATGTCAGATAATACAAATTCTGTATACAATTTGATGCCTTTCTGCAATCAAAAATTGGTAGCAGGATGTGTTCATAATCTGTCTTCGCAGGCTTTATTATCAGAGTACATATGTTAAACTTCTTTAAATCCATAAATTTTAATTTTCCAAAAAATTTTGCAAAATTCCCTGACTTTTCCGTGATATCTTCGATCGTTGTACAATTTCCCTGACAATTAATTAATTAATTCCCTGATTTCCTTGATTTCCAATTTAATTTATGACAACCTGTAGTGGCAACCCTGATAAAATTATACGGTGTAACCTTGGAAATATAAGACATAGACCCTGCGCACAATAGAAGGAATAAGGAATTAAGCCACAAGGCAATAGCGATAGCGATAGACATAGCGATAGCAATAGCGATAACGATAGCGATAACGATAGCGATAGGAACAGAGTAATCCAACATACGGGAATCCATAGGTCTGTTCTTTTTGGCTGAACTTTTGCAGCAGTTCATCTGTTTTCCTTTTCTCTCCAGGAGGAAAGAAGAGGAAGAAAGATAAACTGGTGCAAAAGTTCAACCAAAAGGAACAGACCTCATATGTCAATGCACATAGAAATACGGAATAAGGATAGTGATAAATTTCCGACGACTTGGAATTCTATGTCTATCGTCTTATAGCCCACCAATCAGCGTTTAGATTTTTCATTCTGTGTTCATTACGTGTGCTATAATCTTGAAGCAGATGGAAGAATATACTACGGTCTATATACGAGATCAGATTAGTTGGCATTTTTATTTCTTTCGCAGCATTGTGTAACAGGAGGCGACAATTATATGGTATATCGCTTATTTCTATAGCCATTCCTATGGCTGTTCTTGTCGCTGTTACCTCGCATTGTGTTTAGAGCTTTAGGAATAAAGAATAAACGATTTTAATCAATCAGAAATCGGATACATCGGAATACACCGTTTCTGATAGGTTGAAATCGTTTATTTTTTATTCCTAATTCCTTATTTCTTCTATTGTGCACAGGACCATTCTCATGCACGATACTTGTAGATATATTTATTGTTAAATGTAGTATGTGTGTGTGTGCGCGTGCATCTAATTCAGGGCTGCGTTCAAGAATTACGCCCAGATAACTCTAAGCTATAGGTTACGTTACATATATTATAGCAAAAATGCACCCTAGAATTATCTAGGCGTAATTTCTGAACGCAGTCCAGCAGAAATAATTTTTTGAAATATATAGATTTAGATTTAGCTTTGTATAGAAGTCTATATACATATACATACTATACGTATAATTTTACCTTAGACCTATTTCGTGTATCTTTATCATTAATTGATATTATCTTATCGTTCTCATATTTGTCATCTGCTTCTTTCGTTTTCGCTTTTCCTGCACTGCAGCTCGTATTAAACGCAGAAAGATGGTCGTTTTCATATTTGTCAATCGATGTTAATATAATACTGTCGCATTTTGCATCAATTACGTTTGAATTACGTTTTTGCGATATTACCGTTTGTTCGATATCGGTATTGCTGTTTGAACGAAAATGCGATTTTTCTATAATAAACCCTTTGTCGTCAGGCAGCGACGGATGCGATTCGATATCATAAAACATATTTATCCTTTCTTACGATTATGTGCTATAGAAGAAAATTCCTTCTTCCAACCGTCGCGTATATGATATGCGTATTCTGCATATACGTAAACTACACAAATTTCAACACAAAATCGATACGATACGATGGAAACGTACGTATGTACACTAAAAAGCAATATATCTAGTCGAATAGATGTAGAACGTACGATTGCTTTACCGCGCTCGACTGCACTTTATTGCATTCGCTTGAAAAAGCAAATACAAAAAGACTGGCGCCTTCCATATTGCATTAGAGACCCTCTAATAAGAGTCTAGACACGTGAAGTCCGCCATTATTCGTCGAAATTGTGCGAAAGAGAAAAATCATGCTATCTCATTCTAGTGGCACTGTAAGTTGTAGCTTCTACAAACTTCATAGTTTCATACATTTAAGTAAAATTATGATGCATTTTCATTATGCATTTAAGTAAAGGAATAATTATTTTTATAATGCTTTAAAAAAAAGAATAATACGTTTCTATTATGCGTTAAAGAAATAATATAAAAGAAATAATTTTATTATGCGTGAAAGGAATAATATAAAAGAAATAATTTTTTATGTGTTAAAGAAATAATTATTTTTATTATGCGTTAAAGGAATATATGTAATACATTTTTGTTATGTGTTAAAAAATACCAAAGAAATAATTATTTTTATTATACGTTAAAGGAATAATATTTTTTTATTATGCATTTAAATACAAAAACAATTATTTTTATTAAATAACAAAAATATTGTATACCTAACAAATGGCTTTCCAACAACAAACACAAATCAACATAAATTGACACACAAACGTTTGTACTTAATATTCAGAAACATGGACAAAATACTCCTGTGTCAAAATAGTAGTAGTTTTTAATATAATATATAATATACTTTTGAGAATTATAAGACTGTCTGTTATAAACTACAAGACTATTATATATTACATGGAATAAATATTTTTTTCTGCATAGATATACTACTTTATTTATTCCCTATTGCTACCTATGTATTTTTTGTTAAGAATTTTAAAGCATTAATTGTATTATTTGTATTTAAATTTAATTTTTATTAAAGTTTTTTAGTTAATATAAGTTAAATAATAATAAAAATTGTAATTGATACTACTTTAATTTTTACGAATTTATTAATTTTTACAAATTTGAATTTAAAGAAATTTGCGGGAATGGATGATAAATGTCAGACCAATCACAAACCGGGGAGGTGACCAAACTCTTATTAGAGGGTCTCTATGTTGCATTAGCCACTTATACTTCAGAGTATACATACGTATATTCTCTAATATATCTTACAAATAAAATACATAAGACATATCTGAGACTAACTCGATCTTTTACCGTTCCGTCTATCATGACTACGACTTGGTACCGTGAATTCATATTTTAAATATAAAATTACAAATATGCCAGTTATTCCTTACAATAGATTCGCGCGATTAATTTCGCACTTCTCATTGCCACTACAGAACTATTCTCGACAACGAAAGCGACCAAGTGTTTTCTTTTTAAATTATTAAATTATTAAATTGCTTATCAATTTAATTTGTGATATTACACTATAGTAGTTTGATTGCGTTTATAAGTTCGAAAAATTATTTCGACGCACAGTTCAAATAACTACATATTTAGTATATAAATTCACATAGAAATTATTTAAAAGCATTAAAGATCCAGCTTCGACCGGTATAGACTTCTAGTTTACCAATTGTTTTCTTTTTCTTTTTTTTTCTTTTAAATTTCAAGTACAAATCTTCGAAATCCAAGCATAATATTTTGTTATTGTTCTTAACATACCGCGCCGGAGATATATCGTAGATGTCTATATAACTTACCTAAATATGAGTAGTATCCAGTATGTCCGAATATATATATACATATACATATATGTATAATAATTAATACCGAATAGTAATACTCGATATTTTGAAACGTATTATCGCCGGATGATGATGAAACGTACGTGGCCTACAGATATACTATATACTTGATTATATACTGTTCCATTAGCATTCAGGTGTTGTATAAACACGTGTTTTCGCCGTGAATTTCTGTAGATCAAGCCGAGAAGCATAATTCTACATTCAAAGTAACATAGTAAGCGATAAGAAGAAAATAAAACGAAGACTCCATAAATATGTAAAATATACATAAGATAATAACATATAAAGTATTGAAAAAAAAAGAATTAATGATTTATACTTCTTTATCTGCAAATTTAGTTACGAAAACGTAAACAATGCAAGATTGTTGTACAATTATCTAGACTAGACTACAATGTATCTAAACTAGAAACGTTGCTGATGACATTTTAATGGATTCCATGTATGTTTCATTTTACTGTAATTTCACAAAAGAAAACCTGAATAATAAAATTAAATATTATAAATTTTATTATTATTATTATTGTTGTCAAACCCATTCTTCAAAATTCTTTGAGTCAATCTTGCAATTTCCTCATTTGATATTATTGATTTGGTACTTGATTATAAATGAACTTCCCTCTGTAATAATTACTTAAATAAAGCCGGTTTGAAAACTTTTTATTGTGAGCCTTACAAAGTAATCGGTTAAGCTTACGCTCTCTATAAATTTGTATTACATTTTATTTTATATTTTCCGCAAATCATGTAAAGAAATGTAAAATTAAGATTCGATGTATCAAGTTTCATTCTTATAGTATTCAAACATTCTAGGCCATCTCGTTATTTGTTTGTTAATGAATTAATACATTTCTATTTATAATTTTATATCATGAAATGTATACACCATACAAAATATTTCGTAAAACTGATGATTGTCTCAAACTTCACAAGCGTATAGTTGATGATAGTCTCCAATCTACAATATACATACATTTTAAAATCTGATTTGCCCAAATCTTTTGATTTTGAAAAGTATAAAAATATTAACGCAGAAATTTGTTTGTTTTCCTCTTTTTATACGCTATTGAAGTTTGACACAAATCTTCGTACAGAACTCTTCGTATATACGCAATTAATGAGACACTTGTCAAAAGAAGTGGAGAACATCAACGTTGTGAACAAAATTCATCATTTGTTTAAAATGAACAACGAGAATCGTCACATGTATGTATGTATGTATGTATGTATGTATGTATGTACATACACACACACACACACACACACACATTCATTCAAATTTGTCATAACTCAAACTGTTGGTTCGTTTTACAAATTAAAATTGTAACATTTAAGTATCCATGTGGTATAAAAGGAATGTATCTGTTTTTCACGTAATGAATTTTTTGACGATGATGTCCTTTTATTATATCGCTTTAAAATAGAAATGTCAGCTGAATTTCTGATATTTTCCAAAATATTTGAAAACTTCTTACAAACTACTCGTTTCATTCTTTGATGCTACAAAAAGTTGTAATTACCTCGTATATAAGTACATTAATATGTATTAAGATTTAGTATAACAATGTGCACAATATAGAAGATACCTCAGATGGTTATTTCAATAGATATATATGTATATGTGTGTGCATATAATGCACGCGTACGCCCTGTGATATAAATTATAAAAAGAGTTTCAAAAGTATACCTTCCATATTGTATGGCATTTTATTATATGTTTGCGCGCTTTATATAACAATACCAACAACAAATCTGACTGAAAATTAGTGCCTAATGCAAAGCAGGCCATCGAATATTTTCTTATTGACGTTTACATATACTGCAGCCACGTCCGCACATAAGGCGCCTGCGCGTATGACAACTGAATATGTGTCTTTTAATATTATACATACATTAAATATGTTGCGTTGTGTATAATTACAATCATTTATCAGTAAGAAATATGCAAATCGAACTTTAATAATTGTACAAACTGTCCGTTACGTTTCATCTGCATTTAATACTATAATACTGTTGGAACTTTTCATTACAGTTTTTTATTATTCTAGTCACTATTATATCCTACTTACCTAAAAATCTTCAAGTCTCTATTGTATCGTTATGAATTAATCGCTATCCATTGCGGCAGATTCTTTAACCAAACTTTCCTTTAAATTAGATTCGTCTACATAATTATATTTTGAATTCTTCTCTTCTGCAGATTTTACGCACTGAAACGAATTAATAGCATACGATTGTAGAAATCAACTTTGCATACAGATCATAGAATTGGTTTTTTTTTTAAATTATATTTAATGACTAAATACAAAAGAAGAACAAAGTCTATTTTTTTCTATATATGTATATGTATATATCTCTTTATTGCGTATTACCGAGTAAAATTGTTATAAACATATATGTATAGAGATACATGTCAAATACATAATACTGAAAGAAATGAAATCAAAATTTTATTTAGAGAAATCAAAGACTGTATAAAATCTACGAGAATTAGACCAAAAGTAAGTTTCCTTACTTTAGGAAAAATGGAAAAACAAAGTTTAAAAATCTCAAAAAAATTTTTTTAACTTATTACTTGATTATTAGAAAAAAATCGACATTTTTTTCTATGCATTTGTTGTATCTTGGAAAGTTTTTTTTCACACCTTGTGTATTCCACGATGTGTCCACTTTTCGCGAGCCGTCTACGATCAATCCAAAAATATTTTTTTCCCTAATTTTTTTTACATAAAAAACAATTCTGAGATATTACCGAGTGCTTCCGTGTATCGTCTTATCCTTGTTGTTCA